CTTTCTCCTGGCAAGATTCTAGGGTGCTTCTGAAGTGAAGGAAGTACTCAGTGACTGGCGTGAGAGGCCACGGGAGGGCTGGGCCTCAGGGCTGTCACCTGGCCACCCTGCATGGAGGGGTCTCTGTGCTGCGGGACACGAATGACAATTGAGCTGAGGCTGCTTGCTTTTTTGTCCTTTGGACTGGGCTGAGCCCTCAGTCTTTCAAACAGTCCCTTCTGATTACTATAATGATGGAAAAGAAAAACAACAGCAAGAAGATATTTTGCTGTTTAAGAAATAGAGTGTTCTTGTTACATGAGCTCTTAATGATGATTTTGTTCATCTGTTGCTTTATCTGGTGGGAACTGGATGCCTAGAGGAGGGTTGGGGTCAGTGGCAGAAAAGCCTGCAGCCTTGACCTCTGGATGTTGTGCCCCAGCTGTTGAGGAGGTGCCAGACGCCTGGATGCACAGGACAAAATCATCTAACCCCAAGGTCAAGGCGTCTGGATCAGAGGAGGGCCAGGCCCAGCTGAGCACTGAATAAACACGCTGGATGGGTGGAGGAGAGGACAGAGGAGGGGACAGATGACGGAGAAGACAGAGGAGGAGGGTGGGCAGCAGGAAGTCAGAGTGGACCACTGGGTCATGTTAGAAACCCTGTGGACGGGGTGCAGGAGTTTGGCCTTTTCTGATGGCAACGTTGATGCAGGGTCTCAGTGCTGGATCTGTGTTGGTGGTGTCACTTAAGAAAGTGACTGCCTGTCGGTAAACCCAACACTCTGAGAGCTGAGGCAAGAGGAATACAAGTTCAAGCCCAACTTGGGCAAGTTAGAGATTTAGTAAGACCCTATCTTAAGGGGAAAAAATAAAACCTTTTTGCAAAGGACTAGGGATGTAATTCAGTGCAAAAGTCCTTGGTTCCTGTGGCTGTCATAAAAGGTCCTCCCCAAAGCAAAAGTGACTCCGCTGGCTACAGAGAAGACTTTCTGGGGAGATGAGTCGCACGACCCAGCTGCTGAAGCCTGTCATCTACCCCTCGGTCTTGTCTTTAAATTCAGAAGCGAATTGAGGCTCTTTTCAAGAATGAATTCTCTCCAGGAAGAATGCTGGTGCCAGCTGCCAAACACTGAGTTTCTAGAAATTAGTTGTCACTTGTCAAAAACTCTCCTTATGTTAGTGCTCTGGGTCTCTAGACCTCCCTGTTCTCATTTGCATAAGCAACGATTAGAAAGTTTTGCAAACTCAACTTAAGCCAAGGCCATGTCTTAGTGACAGGGATGTAGACAGCCCTGCTGGGTCCCAGGTCTGCCAGGAACAGGGAGAGCAACAGTGGGGAAACATCCCAGGCTCTTTAGGCCCTAGCATTTTGCATTGTGTGTGTGTGTGTGTGTGTGTGTGTGTGTGTGTGTGTGAGAGAGAGAGAGAGAGAGAGAGAGAGAGAGAGAGAGAGACAGACACAGACACAGACACAGACACAGACACAGACACAGACACAGACAGACAGAGGAAATGTCATCTGTTATGCGGAGCTTGTTGAAGACAATGAAAACAGCATGCTGATGTGACCATGGCAACAACAGAAGACAGTGGGAGTGGTCACTGCTAGGCCAGAGGCTGCTGGGAGCTGGAGCTTGTGTGAGCCTGGCTGGTGCTGGGATTGCACCTCCTGTGTGCCTGCAGTGAGCCTGACACAGTCTCCAGCCACCAAGAGACTCCGTCTTGCACGTGGACAGAGGAGGAAGAGGTAGGAATGCCAGAACCTCAGGGGTCAGCTGGCTTCCATGTGCTCAGCCCCACAGAGGTGGGCACGGTAGAGCTCCATCCTCTGTTCCGTCCCCTTGCAGAGCCTAGAAAATGACAAGGAAGCTTCTAGCACGGAGAAGCCAGCCATATCACTGGTCCTCCCTAGACATCTGCCTCCTGCCCAGCACTCAGAAGCTCTTCCCAGGGGCCACCCTCCTCCTCCTCCTCCTCCTCCTCTTGGTGCATCCCAAGGATACGCCATGGCCACTGAGTTAGCAAAGATGATGAGGTCACTGCAGCGCAGTCCATGGCAGAGGTGCCAGCCCACGAGGGGGATGCGAGCCCAGGAACCACCAGCTCCCGTGTTCCCAGAAGATGCCAAGGCAGATGTGCCTGACAGGAGCTCAGCATCTGTGCCTCTTCTCCCTGCGCTTTGCTCTGGGGTGAATGGGAAAGCTAGTTTGAAAGGTCTTTATGCTTGGGCATTTAAGGAGCAGGGCACCTCAGTGAACGTGTGTGTGTGTGTGTGTGTGTGTGTGTGTGTGAGAGAGAGAGAGAGAGAGAGAGAGAGAGAGAGAGAGAGACAGAGACAGAGACAGACACAGACACAGACACAGACACAGACAGACAGACAGACAGAGACAGAAACAGAAACGGAAGGAAGGGAGGGAGAGAGAGAATTCTTTATGTAGCACATGAGAAATAAGTGGGTATGCACAGAGACACCCAATAACTCTATTAGACATTTCACAAATTGTATTATCTTTATTTTACTTTATTTTTTCTAACATTTATTTATTTGGCCCAAGGTCTCACTACATAGCTAGACTTGTAGTCCTCCTCTTTTCTCAGCCTACCCAGCACTGGGATTACAGGTGTGCAACAGCATGCCCAGTCTTGGTGGCTGGCAGGGCATGGGGCCAGCATAGCATGCAGTACCTGGAATCAAACCCAGGTCCTTGCACTTGCCAGGCAGACGCTTAGACCCCCAAGCTATCTCTCAGGCCCAACAAATTGTATTATCTTAAATCTAAAATTAGCATCCATGCCAAGGACCATTCCAAACGTTGCACAAGGGTCAGTGCATTCTGGGCCCTGATGACCTTCCCGGTGGCTGCTGTCTTTGCCCTCATTCTCTACTTGAGGCAACTGAAATCAGAAACTTTTTTTTCCTGGGCCACACATCTTAGAAGTGGAGGAGACAGGTACCAGCAGGGCTGTGGAGATCTGTCATCTGCAGCGCCACCACTGCCTTGTGCCCCACTGTCAGGACTGTGAGGAATGAGGAGACCAGAAGCACCCCTCCACCCAGGAGGGCTCTCGCGGTGCACCTGCGGTGCTGCAGTGGCACAGCCCTTCACCCTGAAGCCGCCTCCAGGCTCCACACTAAAGCCGCTCCTACATGGGTGAAATATCCCACCCTTGAGAGGGTGTGCAGAAGGTGAAGTGGGATGAGCGGGGGTGACACGGCCACTGCTCTGGAGGAGACGAACAATGGCCGAATCCTCTCTGCATCCCCACGCAGCCTGCTGGCCTTCAGGTGTCTTTAGCGGCAGCTAAGTAGGAGCCCGAGAAAGGTCCCTCTCTGCATGCTCACACGCGGTGCTCACTGCCGCAGTGACTTCTCAGGCACGCGTCATCCCCAGCGGGCGGGATCCCGCTGGACCAGGCACCGACCGCAGGAGCTGCCATCTGACAGCCTGAAGTCAAGGCAGGAGATGTGGCCACAGGCTGTCTCGCGAGCAGCTTCGGTGACACTTACAGTGGTGATCTGGGGTCCGCAGAACCTGCTTGCAGTGTCGTAGGACTGAGGACCGCACAGAGCTTTCAAGATGCTCCAGATGCCAGTTTGTCTTGGTTAGTTTCACTTAGGGAAAATGTATTCTGGTACAACACACGATGTCACGCTTGGGTGCACTGTATGCTAATGGTTGTCTAAAGGCTTTGGCCATCCCACTTTCTCTCTTTGTTTTTTTCTTTCTTTCATTCGTTCGTTCATTTCTGTCAGCGTTAGGTACTAGATGTGGATCCCTGTAATATGACGCATGTACTTGGAAAGATGCATCCGTAAAGAAAACAGACTGAAGTTTCAGTCATCCTGGTTCTTTTAAGTATTTGTTTCTCACTGATTGGATCTTTATTAAGAGGCTGTAATGTGCCCAACATTGTTTTTTAATTTTATGTATTTAGCACAGAGTCTACAGGGTCTCACTACATAGACTGAACTCCTAGTGATCCTCCTGTTTTCAGCCTTCCAAGTGCTGGGATTACAGGTGTGTGCCACCACACCCAGTCTCAGAGTGCCCTGGGGCTGGGGCTGGTATGGCACTCAGGGGATCAAACCCCAGTGCCTACGTGTGCCTAAGCAGGCGCTTTAGTCCCCAATATCATCTTGGGTCCCATAGCACACAGTTTCTGGAGGCCTCAGACCTCCTTGAAGCAGAATGGCCTGAGGTTAGGGTTTGAATACAACATTGTACCATGGCTCTGGCAGACGCACAGTGACTGCCCTAAGGTCGGCTCCATCGGGGACGCGGCTCCCGGGTCAGGGGGAGACTTCACTTGCAGTCATGGGGCTGTCTACTGAGGCTGAATCTGAGTGCTGCCAGGAGAGTTCTGTTACATAACAGACGGAAACAAACATGATTTGTTTTAATAGTGTTTGTAAATAAGATATCGTGTCTGCATCTTGTACAACAAATAACCACTAGGAAGGCAGTATGCAGTGTGTTAATTTATGGAACTGTCCTACCAATTTGATTTGAAACTGTCTCATTGCTACTTATTTCTCAATAAAATGGGAAAGAAAAAAAGCATGCCTGAGTAAATTAGGGGCGCGCCTCCTCTTGTCTACTCCAACTTCACTTCAATCCGTGGGACTTGGGTGTGGTGAGGCCAGCAGAGTTGCGTGTAGGGCTGCTTCCCAGTACAGGCTTTGCTTTCTCTTCCTCAGTGCTTGGCTTTGATTCCCAGTTTGCATTCCCACGGCTCCTCTTTTCTGCAAGATGGGGACCCCTGGGCTTGCTGCTTTCCTTTTAAGTTGAGTCCCTGTCTGTGACAACATACACAGACAACAGCAGCTGTGTCATTGACTTGGGATTAATTTCTCCAGTGTCATTCTAAGAATGCAAAAATCTCCAGGCATTTGGAGTAGTTACTGCTTTCTTTCTGCCTCTGCTGCAAATGGACTTGGAACCTGCCCATCCAAGGACAGCCCCCTATGTAATCGATCTGATTAACAACAAGCATGTTTTTATTTGGCTTGGCTCACAGGTTTGGTGCTGGCTACACGGTCAAAGTCTGGCTCTGCAAGGGAGAAAATCAACCGGGCCCTATTTCTGACTGCTTGAAACTCCACTTTCCAGGAATCCAGTTTAAGGTAATGCTGACATTCTGCTTCACCTCTGGGCTTTTAGCTGAGAGCATCTTGGGAATATATGTGCCCTGTTTAATTAATTAACTAATTTTTGTGGTCCTCAGTGTTGAATCCAGGGCCTTTGCACTGAGCTATATCTCCAGCCCTTTTGATTTTTAAAGTCAGGGCTTCATTAAATTATGACATTACTCAGGCTGTGCTTGAACTTGCAGTCATCCTACCTCTGCTAGTGGCCATCTTGGCCTTCTTATGAGGACCTGGACATCTTTCTTGACCTCCCCAAAGTGGCACAGATAGCTACTGTTCCTGGATGGGACAACAGAATGGCAAGTCTGCTTGGCCCTGTCTGGACTGCCCAAGGTTGACTTCGATTGTGAGTTCTCCACTCTGACCAATGTGTGCAGTGCTCATTTAGAAGAGTACAGAAGTTCATTTCTTCCATGCCTTTGCCTGGGTTTATGGGCTTGGAGTCTGAGCTTTATTCTGCAAGAACAGCCCTCTGCTTGGGAGCAGATTCCTCTTGCAACATCATGTGATCACGTGAGCGTGTGACAGAGCATCTTCCACACCTCCATCTGTGCAGACCTGCAGCAGTGAAGCTTGTGCGCATTTTAGTAGGGTGGTCTGCAGTCCATACGCACATTACACTTGGAGAAACACTCTCTGCAATTCCTTTGCCTAACTGTGTGATCCTGACTTCCCAAACTGGCAGGAGTTTAGCAAGTAGCTTTTCCCTATTTACTTCAACACCTGTTGGGTGAGATGCTATCATGGAAGAAGTGTGCTGTGAGGAACGCACTCACTCATGCTCCCATGCCCCGCCAAAACCAGCCCTAGGCAGCAGAAATCACCTCTTCCCGCTGGCTTCCATGAAAACAAGGAGCAGAACAGTGTTCCCCAGAGCTACTCCGTTGACGGTGAGGCCAGCTGGGAACTAAGCTTGTGTCCCAAGGTGCAGTTCGGGACAACTCCAGATATCTCTGCTGTGCCACGTTTGCTTTCTTCTTCTGGAACTTCTGAAAGCATTTCTGACCTTCAGCGAGGTCCTCCCTGTCACTGTAGCAATGTGGGAACGAGGAGCAGCATCAGCCAGGACAGCGCTGCTTACAAGCGTTGGCTGTGGACACGCAGAGCCAACCCGCACAGCTCACGGGGGCGTATGTGCGTGGTCTGAAAAGAAGTGTCTGAATGGAGTCAGAAAACGGAAGTCACGTGGTCAGCCTTGCTGAGTGATGTCTAGCTGTGTGGTACTCTGTTTCCTTTTGTCTTTGTTTCTAGGGACAGCGCCTTAATTTGCTGGAATATCATGTGCCAAAAAGATGGGGCTGCCTCGCTGACCTGTTCAGGGTTCTGGAGAACAACAAGACCTCCTTGCACGTCGGGCATTATGCCATCAGCGAGACCACTCTGGAGCAGGTATGGCACCCGGAGGGAGTCGGAAGGTTGCACGTGGGGCCTCCCGGGGCCAAATCCAGCAGAACTCAGAGCCACCCAGGTTTCATTTTCAGCTCATCTTTTCTTTTAATCAATCTTGTTCAGTTTTACAACATTCTGGTAAGGATGGCATGTTAGGAGGTGTGTTTATTGTATGCCCTAAACCCAATTTACATATTCAAGTATTTACATAGTCAAGTATTGAATATCTTGACTATGTAAATATGAATATCTTGAATTTGTAATTGTGTAAGTATTGAATGTCTTAATATGCAAATATTGGATGTCTGTTTATATATATATTTGATATCACATAATTGCTTACATACTTATGCATTTATAATGACTGTGGATATTCAGGAAGTTAAATCACGTCATCTTAGCTCTCCTTCAAAACTTACCCAGTCCCCAAAAGACTAGCTGGACTCCACCACAATTGAACAATAGCGATAGCTAAGTTTGGGGGAAACAAAGTACTTGGTTTACTTAGAGCATCAGAAATATAAAATTATATCCCAACTTCTTTCTACAATCATGCATAAGGTGCTTAGACTTCCCAGGAGATTTATTAATCCTGCTGTGGTATTTTCCATTGCTGGAGTGGAGTCTCCAGTGGACAGACCTGCTCATTGTGGTGGAGGAGACAATGGGATGAAGGTTTGATTTTGCCTTCCAGGACTTCCACAATTTTATGGAATTACAGAAAGATGCTGAGGGTATATTTATATCTTATTTGGTCCAACATACTGTTCAGAGACAGTCTCTGTCCTTAGGGTAGTGGGAGCTGAAGGCTGAGTGTTCTTAGAAATTCCATCTATTTTCTTTATTTCTTTTAGGTCTTCATCAGTTTTGCTAGTACTGAGCAGCAGAAAACTCTGCCCTCTACTGTGGAACTGCCCATGGAGGGCAGCCGCCTGTGTCAGCTGCCTGTGTAACCAGACCCTATTGTCCTGTTGCCTGTCCCACTCAAGCTTCAATAAACAAGTGCACCGAGAGGACCCAGAGGGTGTGTTCCTGGGAGTCAAGTCTTCTCGCCTTCATTGTCCATTTTGAAACTCTTTATTAATAACCTGCAAACCGAAAGGCCCTCCTTTTCCATAGACATCTGGCCAGCTCTTCTCCCCAGTAGAGACTCCTCTGCTGCCAAGCTGGGTGGGCACTGACTCCTTTGGGAGGAAGGCGTGAATGTGCAGACCGAGCCGAGGAGGCTTTCTGGTACACAGACCTGCTCCCACTTGGGCTTGCAAGGTTAACTTCGCCTTCTGGGACACAGAGCTGCCCCGACACGGTCAGCAAACTGTCCCAGCTTGCTCGTGTCGGTAGCGGCATCAGGGCTTGTTTTCTGCTTTTGCCATCTTTTATTAGGCATGCCCGTGTGTTTTTAAATAAGTAACAACTCGATTAAACGCAAACTTTTCCTAAGACTGGATGACATCATGTGTTATGACATGGGGAAGCTGCCATTGTTTTCATACAAAAAGCTTCTTTGAATTAAGAGTTAAAGAACATTTTTTGATCAATCTATTAGCACAAATGAAGAAATTGAACTAGTTATTAATGTGTCCTTTTTAATAGTTTTACCAGAATCTCACATAATTTATAATTTTATGGGATTATAGAAAGATACTGAGTGTAGATTTGTTTTTTATTTGGCTCAATAATTGCTTCTGTGTTCTTCCAAGCTCTGTGGCTTCTCGAAGCCTGGCCGCATTGGGCTCGGTGGGAGCTTGCCAGACCTGGTGCCTTCCAAATCCTGGAGCTGGAACCTTGAACTGAAATAAATATATTCCAATTTGAGAACTAAGAACATGTCAGGGTACCTTCTAACTATAGAAGCAAAGCCAGCAGAGTGGGCAATAACTACATATTAACTTCCTAAATCTTTTAAATTTTTCTAAAAATTAGTTCATTCCACCGACTCGCAGAAATGCACAGTATAGTTTTTCAAATCATCCTGTTTACATACATAGATAAATCTCTTCCTCTCCTCCCTCTCCTGGAAAGGAGCAGATAATAATTTGTCTTATCTCCTTTTTTTCCAATTGTTTGTACTTTTTCTCTTCTTAATTTCTTATACATTTCTTTTTTCTTCTAATTTTGCATGAATATACAGTAATATGAATGGTTGGAAGGCAACACTACATTACAACAAATACAGTGAAATTCATATTAGTCTGTTAAGTTAAATTCTATATCACTTACAATTTTTTTGTTTAATCCTAATTTGTACTCTCTTTAAAAAATAAAAATAAAAAAATTAGCTCATTCTTAGAATTGTTGTCCTTAAAGATGTGGCTCTCAAAGGTTGATTATTAAACCTGATATTTTGTATCTTATAGTTTATTAAGCGTATAAAATCAATGACTCTTGCTCTGAAAATAATTTCCTGCCACATACTTCTGGGCATCCATTGGGAAGCACTTTCTTCATACCTTGGTAGGTGACCACATTAATTTTGTCCTGAAATTTGGCCTTTTCCCATTTGAGAACTGAGGACTAAAAGCTCATGATGGAAGAAAAACACATCATTGCTACATTTCTAATTAAAACAAGATTTCATGAAATCTGTCTTTCCTGATTATGATTTTATGTCAGAGATATAGTTTAAATGACAGGAATTAAGTCAATCATGGGTAGCTTTTACACCAGCTATTTTGAGTCTTAAGCATCACAAAAATTACACATCCTTAAATAGTTACAGTGTAGGTTTTATGATTTTTTTCTACAGCTCTAACATGGCCTTGTTCTCCAAATGGAAGATGTCTTTGTTGTTGAATTAATATGTACCAATTTGTGAAATAGGAACACATTTGTACTACAGTGAACGAATAAAAGATGATAAAATATAACCTGGTCCTCACAATGCAATTGTATTTTTTACCAATTTATTTCTTTGCATCTTTATTTGTGTCTTTAGGGATCCAATTTAATTTAGGCAAGGAAGAAACGAAACTACTCCAGACCTTTTAATGTTAGAAAGGTTAAAATTTAATTGAGTTTTGCTTTGCTGCGTTCTCCTCTTAGGGGTTCCTTTCTGGTCTTTGAACTGCTGTGTTCTTGAAGTTTGTTCAAGGTATGACTTTGAACAGCAAAGCAGGAAGGAAAAATGCCCCATGTGCTAGGTTACCCGCCCCAGAAGACTGGAGGCAAAGGTCGAGTGTTATGCTAATGTTGAAAATGGGAATGTATTTATAAGTCATGCAGATATTTTCTGTCTTTGGAGTTAAACATTTATCTTATGACCTTTGGGTTGAAGGTCACACTTAACAAACCATTCTTAAAGACTCTTAAACCACTTTTGAGATAAGTTTTGAGTATTTCTTATGGCAGAGGTAGCAGATCATCGCAGATCCAATCATCAGGCATTTACTATGTAGTTTATCTTTTGCCAAGATGTTTAAACAAATGATACATTAAAGCGTCCATGCAAAAATCAAGGGTATATAAAATGATCAAGAAGTATGTTTTTAGAAGAGAAAAGACAAGTTGGATAAAGATCACAGTTAGCTTTGTTTAATGGATATTAAACTGAAAAACAGCTCAACACGGCCACTCCGAGGTGTCCTCCGTGCGCTGCACTGTCCTGCCCACGCACAGTGTTTGTGCCAATGACGTGAATGCCACCCTCCCCACTCCACCCCAGTGGGGCACAGAGTCATCTAGACACTGAGGGTGACTGGAGCGTGTTTCTGCGCTGGTTTTTTCTCAGCTTGTTCCCTTAGCTCGGCTCAAGGGACTTTGGTCTGTGGAGTTTGGTAACAGACTTAGTTTCACATACTTGGATAATTCAAAGTCCTTTTGTAACACACGAAGCATGCACACACACACACACACACACACACACACACATACACATATGCTTTCCTTTAACTTTGAGCAAGCCATCTTATACACAAAAGTAGATGGTGGATGCTCTAACAACCGGTGAGGACCCCAATGAAGACCTCTGCTATGGGGACACAGGGCCGGCTGCTGCAGTCAAGGGTGTGAGAACAGGTTTGATGGAATGGTTCCCACCTGGCTGGACCTTTAGCAGCTGCTCACGGTCTCCCAGGCGAGCTCCTCCCCACCGACCACGCCCACCGCGCTGGTGGCTCCGCGTCTGCGTCCCCCAGCAGCGCTCCTCGTGGGCTCCAGACCTGCCATGCCACCCTGGCCCCTCCACTGGGTTATCAAACCTCTTCATGACCTCTGGTCACCCATCAGGGGTCACTGCCACCAACTTGCAGGAGCTGTCCTGGGGAGGTTATCCTCCATGCCTGGAGCATCCCCAAACCCTAGAACCGACCTTTTCTGAAGTCCAAGAGACTCCTTAGCCTCTCTTCCTGCTCTCATCCTCCCAGCCTAATGAAGGCGCCGTCGGCTTTACTGCAGCACCACGGATGCCTCTGGTCTCTTCATCTGATTTCGCCTCTCTACCTCCTGGCTCCTAGGTTTTGGTGGGGTAAGTATTTTCCTTTCTCTTTCAAATGTACAGTCAAGGCTGCCACTCTGGGTTGTCTCGGTTTCCCGAGGCTCTATGAATAAATGAGTCATTTTTCATAGCGCTCTAATGCCCCTGGCTGGCCTGGCTTCCACGCCTTCCTCCCTTTCAGCTCTTTCACCTCACTGGCCCCAAGACTGCGGAGGAGTGCGGACGTGCTCTTGCCTGGACTTTCTGCCAGGTTCTGTCTGCCCACGCTCTTGTTTCCCGGGTCAGCTTCTTGCCGGCCGCCCCACTCGGCGCTGTGGAAGTGCGTGGGTGCCGGTGAGACGCTAGTGGAGCTGGAGAAGGCCCGCTGCGCACTGGGGCGGCCCTGGGCAGGGCTGTGGGGTGTCGGCTTCTTGCTGTTCCCTTTTTCGTTCCTGGCCTCAAAGAGAGAGGCAAAAGTTTTGCACCATCGTAGCCTCTGCCATGATGAGGTACTGGGAGGTGTGGCCCCAAGTGACAGGACCAGGGGATCATGGGGCGAGCCTGCTCATGGGCTGGGAGCCAAGGTGCACGCTGACCGTCTTCGGTGTTTATGACCATGACAGGAAGCTGTCCGTGACAGTTGACACTGAGCTATGCCCTCTACAGCGCTCCACAGCGCCGGCTACAGCCATCCCGAACCTCTTGCAGGGAGTCTGTGTTCGCTGTATCCCGTGCCGCTTTCTCGGGCACACGCGGTGCTGTGATACCTTCCTCGAGGTATCCCGACTCCTGCAGACCCCTTTATTGTTTGGCCTTCTTCATTTTTCTTTCTCTCTATATGGTACAATTATAGAAAGCAGTTTCAGAACCAGATGTGCCACTGTTTTCCCAAGGCGTGGAACTGAATTCAGCATGAATGTTTTGTAAGCGTGAGCCTAGCCAGCCAAAGGAAAAGCCCGGTGCGCGGGGCAGGATCGGCTGCAGCCTCACACGCTGTACAGGGCGCAGTGACGTATTCCAGGCGCGAGGTTCCCACCTTGTTCTGTGGCGGACCTCAGCTCGTTGCGGTGCGCCCCACTTCCAGCGATACTCACGGGTGGACCGACCATTGGTGCGCACTGCTGCGTGCCCTGGGTAGCAGGAGAAATGTGGATTTTAAATAGCTCAGCTCACAGCCAGAGAGCGGCCACAGTGCTGCAGCTCCTGTCCTGCAGCATGGGCGCCCCGCGCCACCTGAATTAGGCTGAGCGGCTGTGCAGACTCCGCGCTCACACACTGCATCCGGGAGACGTGCGCGTGGTGAGATGCGTGGAGAGCGTGCGGGATTCCCTGCAACTTATTTAAAGTGAGTCATGGAGAGCTGGGGTCCCTGTCACTGAAATGCCTCGAGAAGTGCCCAGATTCCAGGTCCCAGGAGCCAGGGATGATAACGGGATCGTTTGGACACACTCTCCACACAGAATTTAATTTCCCTCCAGCAAGTTAGCAACAAGGTCTTAATAGGAACTTGAGGCTCCAGGGAGGGAAGGGTTTCTCCATCACTTGTGAGCAGAAGACACCGGGTGACTGATAGGATGCAGAGAGTGCGGCCTGTATGTGGTTGGGTGGGGGACAAGGGGCTGTCAGCTCTTTTAAAATTAGTTTTTGCACAGACACCAGGGTTGGGTAGAACTAAGGTGCCGAGCTAGATGAATCTGGGCGTCATTTCTTTCTGAATGAGTCTGTCTCAGCGTCCATGAGAGGTGTCAGCACAGGGGAGGATGGAAGTACAAGCACCCTACAGTGGCGTGGCCAGGTGGGGTCATGCCTGGAGGGGAGGGGGTGACCAGAGGCTGGCCTACAGCTGCGTGGGGCTGTAACAACTGAAGGGAGAAGCCAGTGCTGGGGCTCCAGGCGGCCTCACCACAGTGGACTCTGTCTTAGGATCTTTTTTCTTGAATCTCAGCTACGTCATCATGAAATAAAGTGGAACAGGAAGTGCAGTGAGCCTGGTGGCACAGGCCTGTCACCACAGCCTCTCAGAGGCTGAGCCAGGGGCATCGCAGGATT